AATGGACATGGGGAATCAGGGGTGGAAAGGAGGAGTGTGCTGTCACAGTATGCGGAGAGCAATTAGAGTCACATAACAATGTATGTATAAATTTTTGTATGGGAAAAAAATTAAAAGAAAAAATAATACCCATTGCCGTGGCATTGTCTCTGACTCATGGTGACCCCATGTGTGTCAGAGTAGATCTCTGCTCCAGAGGGTTTTCAATGGCTGAGTTTTTGGAAGATCACCAGGCCTTTCTCCGAAGGCACCTCTGGGTGGATTTGAACCTTCAACCTTTCAATTAGCAGCCAATTGTGTTAACCATTTTCACCACCCATGGACTCTTTCCTCAATAAATAACGCTTTGTTATCTCCATAACTAAAATTAACTCATTCTGAGCTATTTAGACAAATGGTGTGCATTCTTTTTAGTTCTTATTTGTTTCTGTCTTTTTTTTTAAGTTCCATCATGCAGAGTGAAATAAGTCAGTTACAAAACGACAAATATTGTATAATTCCACTTAAAGGAAAGAACTAGAACAGACCAATGTACACAGACCTAAGGTTATGAGTGGTTCAAAAACCAAACCCGTTGCATTGTCGAGTCGATTCTGACTCATAGCGACCCTACTGGACAGAGGAAAACTGCCCCATAGAGTTTCCAAGGGGCAACTGGTGGATTCTAACTGCCAACCTTATAGTTAGGAGCCAAACTGTTAACCACTACACCACCAGGGTTAGGAGGCGGAAAAGGGGATTCACTGCTTAGGAGATACTGCGCTTCTGTTAAGGGTAATGGAAAAAGTTGGAAATGGATAATGGCGATGGTTGTACAACATGATGAATACAGTGGTTGTTGTTAGTTGCCGTCGAGTTGATTCCAACAGATGGTAACCACATGTATGCAGAAGAGAACTGCTCCATAGAGTTTTCAAGGCTGTGACTTTCAGATGCAGATCACCGGGCCTGTCTTCTGAGGCGCCTCTGGAGGCTTCAGACTGCCAACCTTTCGTCTAATAGTCAAGTGCTTAACCAATTAATATCACCAAATTGTACATGTAAAGAAGGTTTCAATGGTGATTGTTTTGTTACATACATATTACTATAAGACAAACAAACAAGAGTTCCATTTCTCCCCGTCTTCTCCAGTACAGGGTAACCTTCTAGGGGCTGGGCATTTCTCAGTGCTCAAAACGTGCTTACAATGCACTTTAAACCAAGTTTGCGCAGAACCCACCGTATGCCCTGGGCATAGTGCTAGGCACTGAGGACACACTGTGATGGCTGTGGGCCAAGTCCCTGCCCGCATGGAGCTTGTATGAACAGAATCACCCCAAAACTTAGTGTTACAGCCAGAGCTGTCTAGTGCAAGTATAGCTGCTTTGGGAGGTATAAGTTCCCCATCTTTGGAGTTCTAAAAGAAATGTGTCAGGAAGGGTACTCTTGCGTTGGGGCAACGTCTGGGCTGGATGGCTCCTCAGGTTCCTCTCACGTGTAAGATTCTATGCCTCTGCCTCTGTTACGAAATCCTCAGTGGCCCTAAATACCTTAATTGGAGGGAGAAAAAAGGCAAGCAGTCAATTCGCTTCTCTTTTTAAAAGCCCGCGTTTGCATCCTCCATCTTAACCGGAGCCCAAGGTGCAGAGTGTGGCCAAGCAGGAATTTCATCCTGCATGTGGTTGGGTAACGCTACCTGTGAACTGAAAATCATTTAGCCAAAGTTGTGACATAGCATACAAATTATTATAGTCCGCCTGCAGGCTGGGGCTGTGGCTTTGCTGGTGGCGCAATGGACCAGCAGCTAACATTAAGTTGACTCAGGGCAGGACTCCCGTGGGCTGAGGGAGGCAGGGCCTGCCAGTTAGCAGGCTGGAGCAGGGTGAAGGGGAGGGCGGCAGTCGGCCCTTGTGTCTGCATACACACTTCCCCGCCTACAGAGGGGCTTGATATCCACACTCTCATCGTGGTCTGAGCCTGCCTCACTACAGCCTTACCATGTGTGTGGTCGGGCTGATGAGGAAACTGAGGCTGAAAGACATGAAAAGATTCCAGACGGTCACACAGTGGGCACGCCCCAGGGTGCAGATTTGAACCCAGGTCTTCTGAATCCAGCTTGGGGCATCTTTCTGCCACAGCACCCTGGGGTCAAGACTGACCAGCCACAGGCCCTTCCATGGAGGACCCCAGTAATCAGGAATCACTGGACACACTGTGGCTTCCATTTCAAAATCTACCCTTGGGCCTGAGTGGTACTTTAAGGATAATAATAACACTAATACTGTCAATACTAACTTCTTAGCCTCAGCAGTGCCAGGTGCTGTGCTAAGCACTTTATATGTTTTGTCTCCTTTAATTTTCACAACCATTCTACCTCAGTTGCGTTTTTGTTGTTAGCTGCTATTGAGTCAGCCCAGACTCATGGCAACCTCACGCACAGTGGAATGAAACACTACGCAATCCTGTACCATCCCTATGATCGGTTGCCGATCAGACCATTGTGATCTGTAGGGTTTTCACTCGCTGATTTTGGAAGATTGCCAGGCCTTTCTTCCTAGTCTGTATCAGTCTGGAAGCGCCAGTAAAACTTATTCAACATTATAGCAGCACACAAGCCTCCACTGATAGACGGTTGGTGGCTGGCTGCACTTGAGGGGCATTGGTGAGGAGCTGAACCCTGGTCTCCCACATGGGAGATGAGAATTCTACCATTGAACCACCAACGCCTCATACCTTAATTTTACAGATGAAGAAATGGAAGCTCTGAGAGGTGAGGTGACTTGGCAAAGCCAGAATTTGGGCCCAAGACTAGGTAATCCCTGGGTCCCTTTCTAAGGACAGCCCCACCTCCCTGGCACTTGTGCAGATGGCTTTGTCCAGATCACTGAAAGGAATACCCAGGGTCCAGTTGTTCTTGGCTTCCAGGCCAATAATAGTAACAATAAACAAAACCCCTCGTTTTATTTATACCACACTTAGAAGGATACAGAGCAGTTTCACATCCCTTCATCCTGTTCTATTCACACAGCATTTCTCTGGGGTTTCTGGCATGGCTGACTTGGTACCATAAGGGGGGCCTTGCCCAGAGTCATAGCTAGTGTCATGACAAGGCCAGAACCCACGCGCGACCCTCCTAATTGGGGTCCAGCACCCTTTGCCATACATCTCTCTGCTCTCTGCTATCATTTCAGTCACCTGCCAGAGCCAACACTGGGTCACATTCTTCCTGGCGAGGGTACAGCTCTGTCTTGGAGCTACTAGACTTGTTGGCAGACAGTAGTCACACCAGAGACCTGGGACAGGCTGAGTTCACACCATGCTTGGAAGCAGCTGACCTTAGAAGCTAAGCAAACAGGCTTTGGAGTCTGCTACATGTGGATGTGAATCTTAAGTCTATCTTTTTCTGGTTGCCTAGACTTGAGTGGTTAACCTGCTTCTCCCCTGTGTAAGATAGGCATAATAATAGTAGCTACGTCATAGGGTTGAGAAGAAGGTGAAAAAGGTAATATATGTAAAGCGTTTAGCGAGTGCCTGCCCACAGTGAACAGTGAATTTAATGGCAGTTATTATTTCCATCTTTACCATGATTGATTGATTAATTCATTTATTCTGAAATATATGTCTTCCTGCCACATGCCAAGTCCTGTGTTGGGTTCTGGGATGAAGATATGAACAATATATAGCCCGTACCATCACAGAGCTCAGTGTAGGGACAGGGACAGATGAAAACAGGCAGTTCCAGTGCAATGTGATTCATAGAGACGTCCTCAAATGTACAAAATGCTGTGGGGTCCAGAGGGCAGAGAAAAGACATTGATTCCTCTTTTCCGACCCACCTGTCTATTCAGTCTCACCTTTCTCGGAATCCAGTATTCCCACCTTCTCTGTAAAGACCCAACCTGTCACTGTAGTGCTGAGTCTTCATTGCCCACTCTGATTCTGGGGGAAGCCTTGAGAAGTGTCTGGGCGGTCATAATCCTTGAAGCAGTCTTTTTTTTTTTAAACTCTCTTGCCTATCACAGAAAACCTTGATACTTGTAAATATTTACAATAGGATCCTTTGAAAACTAACCCCTTACAGAACAACAACAACAAAAAAAAAATGTAAGCTATCAGAGCCCCCCTCCTTTTTTTTTTAACCAGTGTAGAAGCTAGGCCCAGAGAGGGTCAATGACTTACCCTCCAGTCTCAGAGAAGAGAGGCAGAACCAGGATGAAAAGCGTGTCACAACCACAGTTCAGTCAGTGGCTATTCCAGCTACCTCTTTAAAAAGAACAGTTTTCCCCCCAACTGGAATCAAACTGACATGTGATTCCAGATGATATCTGGATTTAATCCATTACAGTGCGTATACATGCACTTTCCACTTCCATCATTACATTTGTGAGTTGAGAAGGGTGGACATGGTTATCCCCAGTCACACATGAGGCCTCCAAGGCTTCAAGGCTTAGTGATGGCCCAGGGCCCAGCTAGCATGGACACCGAGAGCTTTGAACTCCAAATCGAATCCTCTTCCAGCTGAACTGTGATGAGCATCTCATATCCCTCATGCAAGTGAAAAATGCTAATCTATGTGTACAATGAGAAAGGACTTCATGGTTTTCTGCCTCTGGGTTCTGCTGAGACGTTTCTTGGACCCACAGACCCACATGAGCTCCCGACAAGACACTTAGAGAAAAGCATGACATCATATCCGAAACCTGATGATCCAGGAAGCATTTAGTCTTTACGAAAATCATGAAAGTGAGCTATGTGAGTGTCTTTCTTACATCCCCCTTCTCCCCAAGCTGGTCTTGCATAAGCATGATGATCTTCCATTGGGTGACAAGTATGTTGTAAGTGAAACGTTTACTTACAGGCATTACAGGAATGACTAGGTGCCTCACCCACCTCATTAAAATTCTAATTGGGGTGTGTAGGAGAGGCTTCTATAAATGGTAAGGCAATCCCTGGCAGCCTATCTCCCCACACACTGTGCCGCCCACAGAAGAACCCCGAGAAGAGACAGAGGAAGGCACAACATGGCTGGTGAGTGCAAGGCATCTTCTCGCTGGACCCTTGCTGGGAGCCTTAATTCCCCTGGGCCAGCCTGGGAGGAAGAGTGTTGCCAGGACAGCTTCTCTGGGCGCACTGGAGCTGGATTTAGGGTTTCAGGGTTCTATTCAGAGCTGGCTCTTTCTCCGTGGCTGCCCAGTTTCTCTAGCACATTCCCAAGGGTGGAAAAGGATCTGTTCTTCGTGAGGTGGAACATGTTTGGAATGTAGTCTTGAGTAATGGGCAGGATGTTAAACGCAGTAGAAGGTCACGTCCCCTTAGACAGAAAGACAAGCTTGGCCCTATTGATGTTTTTTTAACACACTGGTGGTTATCCATAAAGTCATGCCAGCTGGTACCAGCTTCCCATGTTTGTCAATGTCGTTTTGCCCAGCTGTCAGTAAACATAGACAAAGAAAAGCACATCTCAGGGCTATAAGAGAGTGAGTGAGGGAGAGAGTGACAGCATGTAAGTAGCTTTGAAATAAACCATCAGCACCGCAGGAATGTTCCTAAGTAGACTACACCTCTGGAAGCACCAGCAGGCTCATTTGAAAGTAACTTTATGAGCTGAAATCTCCCACTAGCAGCAGGAGCAGGTGTGCCTCAAGACTGTCACGGTCCCTCCAAGCAATGCCGAGGCAGAGGGATGAAAAGAACAACAAGAAATGCAGGTTGTTTAGCTCTGTGGTTACTGTCGAGGATTTGACTCTTGTTAGACAGCACCCCTGCTAAGCAGCATGCTAATTATTGCCTGTCGTGGGTGTGCAGCCTTAGTGGGTTGACAGCGACGCCAAACCCAAACAAGGCATGAGTCAAACCTGTAAAATACTGTGAATGGCAGTCTGGACTGCGGGAAGGCTTGCAAAGAAATCACTGGCAAGATGCAAAAGGCGAGTGCTGGCTACTTTGGAAATCACGGAGGGGTTGGAACAGGATGCTACAAAAGTCCCCTCCCCTGCCCCGCATTTCCTCCTGAAAAAATACATCATTGCTGGGTTGCTAAGAAGAGATCTGGATCCTGTAGACTTTAGCAAGAAGGGATGCTAGCTGTCATCTAGGCCTTCTCCCTGTCCCCACTCCCCCAGGGAGAGGCTGAGGCCCAGGAAGGGGTAGAGGTTTACCAAGGTCACCCAGGAAGTTGGTAACAGGTTCCAGACTAGGTCCCAGCAGAGCTGAGCTCATACATGAGTGCATGTGACATCTGGGACAAAGAAGAGCAATACTGAACCAGGTTTCTCACTTGAACTCTGTTACCAACTGCTTAAGTGTTCCAAGACAAGCCTCTGCCACTACCAGAGCTTCAGGTTCCCATTTGCAAGGTTAAGGGCTTAAAATAAATGAACTTGCAGACTCCTTCCACGTGCAGGGACCAGGTGACCCCAGAATGTGCTCACCCCAAGAGTGAGGGGGAGGCGGAGTGTGCACCCACCTCGCTCTACAGGATGCACATGTGTAGCCTGCCCACTGTGAGATCTGCTCACATTGGGGGGGGGGTCCACAGCTGGGCAGGGGGCCTGTGATTCAGGGATACCCTGATCTCTTAGATCTCAACATCGAAACCAGAGATATTCTAAGATCACAACAGATTGTGGACAATGGTTGGTTGAGAGAGAATTTTTAAAAAGGCAGGGAGAGACAGGTGAACACATTCATTCCCTTACGTTTGTCACACATGCAGCTTCTAGCTCAGCTCCCGTCACGCAGTCAGCCAGTGCTCTCAGTTAATGTTTCTTTTATTGTTAATCTTCTGGATTTCTATTGCTGTCTCTCTATGGATTCTTGCAGCCTATGAAATTTGTCATTATGCTCTTCTCTAATCTTTTTAATTTCCTCTATTGTGTGTTCTGCTTTTTGATTAATTTCCTTCCTAATCTCTTGAAGAGTTCTGTATATTAATCTTTTGTATTCTGCCTTCAGTAATTCCAAGAAATTTTCTTCCTCTGGAAAATTTCTAGATTCTTTGTTTTGGGAGCTTGCTGAAGCCATCATGGACTGCCTCTTTATGTGATTTGATGTTGACTGTAGTCTCTGAGCCATCAATAAGTTATTATATTTATTTCTTTTACGTTTGCTTACTGTGTCCTAGCTTCTTGTTTTGTTTTGTTTTGATATGCCCAAATAGGCTGCTCGTGTGAGCTAGCCCAGTCACCAGCACCCTTGAAGCTCCAATGTCCTGCCCCCAGGTGGCCAGACCTGTCACTAAGTATGTAAGCCCAGGAGTCTGCCCATTCCTCCTGTAGGGATTCAGATCAGGTGTCCAGGTAGTCGGCCACCAAGTGTATGGTAAGGGCTCTCACCTGCAGTTCTAGACAGGCATGGGTGATTGGTGTAGGCACAGGGCTCTGGCTGCAGCAGGGGGACATAGGCTGAGAAATACAGGGGGCCAACGGCCACCCCCCAGTGTCCAGAAGGAAAGCGTGTCCCCGTTTCCTAGAGCAAATAGATGGGTGGGTTTGGCAGCCAGACTATGAGCACCCAGTGCTGTTGGCTATAAGGACTGGGGGGCACCTCTTATTCTTGGGCCCCTCTAGCAGGTGGCTAGGTGGCATGGGTGGAGCCACCAGTCCTCAGGCCCCTGATGTGGGTAGGTGAAGACCCTGCTTAATGGGCAGAGCAGTGTCAAATGTCACAAACCTGCCGCTTCACAGCTGAAATAGTTGAAGTTAGACTTCAGGTATATACCCTGCGGTATATGCCCGGCAGTAATGAGGGCCTACATTGTTGAAATGGGCCCACACAAGTCTATGCAGGGGGAAAGGCACTCAAAGTCCATGGATCCCTTATGCCTGTGCCTAGGCAAAGGAGTTATGCCTACCCTGAGTTCCTGGCTGAGGGGAGCTGGCAGATTATTTTTTCCCGTTTGTTAATTTGTTCACTCTCCAAGGCTGGGAGAATGGCTCAGGGTACGTGACGGGTCCTACTTCTGGCCCAGGGGACTCGGCAATTGCTGAAGCTGGTCCGGAACCCAGTGCAGAGCAGGGAGCGGGGAGGTAAATGGGAGAGAGGTTTTTCCCTAAGGGGGGTGTTTTTGATCCACGCGGTAGGCTGGACCCAGGTGCTTATCTTTTGCCGATCAAGAGCTGCTTCTCACTGATTCTAGATGGCCTAGTAGACTCTCTGCCCCTGGGTCTCTCCTGGTGTGGAAAACGCCTCCCGAGCACTGCTGCTTGCCTGCCTCACTGCTCACCCCTGAGCTGATCCAGGGTTGAAGGGCTCAGGCTCTCGCCAGGTCAGGTCTGGCAACTTCTCGCTGCTTCCGAACCGTCTCCCCCTCCCCCTGCCATTCAGTCCGGTTCCTCAACTTCACCTTTGATGTTCAGGGCTCCTAGATTATCATATATAATCGATTCACTTGTTTTTTTGGGTCTTTGTTGTAAGAAGGAACACCAGAAGCGTCTGACTGCTCTGCCATGTTGGCCCTGCCTCTCAGTTAATGTTTCTTGATGGAGTGAATTTACCTACTGGACCCCTAAGTGGAGGGGGCCATGCTAGGTACAGCAAGAAACATCGAGATCAGTGAGATACAGGCTCTGCCCCCAGTGAGCTGGCCGTCTGATTGTGCTTGACAAGCCAGTTCACAGGTGAGCAGTAGGCCAGGTGGACTGTGATTAGGCTGTATGACCAACACAAAACGAGTGCTATGGGAACCAGAAGGTGGAGGCAATCAATCTTGGCTGGCTGGGGGTTGGACAGGGAAGACCCTGAGAAGTAGATAACATTTGGTCATGAAAGATGGGCTGGATTTGGTCAGGAGGAGTTTTGAGGAGAGTAAGGAGTGTTCTGGGCAGAGGGAACAGGAAAATAAACATGAGTGAGTAGGCAGGTGTGACCCAGGAAAACTGTCAGAAGCACTGTGCTGCTTGAGCAGAGTGTAAGTTTACAGCTGATTGGAGAAGACTCTGTCCTCCGTTCTTGTTGGAGCTAGCTGGGGTTCTGTTATTCTGCCCCTTGGTGGAGAGGGCAGCCTGGCCGTGGATGGAACGATGGTGGTGGACGGAGTCCTGGCAGAGGTCTTCTCCAGGTGGCAAGGCATCTTCTGCCTGCTTCCCACTGAGGCTGGAGTCCCAGAGCTCTGCTCAGTGTACTTCAATGTAGATTGTGAACACAGATGTTGAGCCCTGGGTGGAGGGAAAGCATTGTCCTCACTCGGAAAGCCACTTGGAATTCCTGGATTAGGGACTGAGTCCTTAGGCAGAGACCCCGCTTGGGGGAGGCCAGAGCCTCTGTTTCGGGGACTAGCAGCTCTGTCCAGCTTGGGCAGTGAGCTTTCTTGCCAAATTCTTTGCTGGCACAGCACCGGCCTAAGCTTCAGGACCTTACCTTCTGTGGGCCTCATTTCCCCAATCTCCAGAGGACCCGTGACATTCTGGGCCTGTGGGCAGGGGCAGATTAATCAATAGGCAAGGAAAGCACAGTGCTTACCTTGCTTACCAGATCATCTGCAGTGAAATTGTTTACTACAGATTAGTAAATAAGCACAAATAAGCCCCAGGCTTACCTTGTTTACTGGGTCATCCGCCCTGTCAGGGATTGTAAATTTGAGAAGAGGCTTTGATTCTGTACAAAGGTACTGTGGGATTGGGAGAGAGACAGATGCCAGCCACACCTAGAAACACAATCTTTGATGTAGTGAAAAAATGTGAAATTGTTCACTGCTGATGATCTGGTAAGCAAGGTAAGCACTGTGCTTACCTCGCCTATTGGATAATCCACCCCTGCCTATGGGTTTGTCACAAAACATTTTTTTCCCTGGAGCTGGAGCACTAGTGTCTCTTCTGTGTAAAAGCAGTCAGGAATTCCTCTGGGCTCCTGCGTCTTCCTTTCTTTAAATCTTCTAGGAGCTTCCTGGGCTCTCTGTGGGCTGGGTGATAGTTTATTGTTTCAACCACTTGGACCGGAGCACCATAAACACTCTCTCTGAAAAGCAGATCACCTCTCTGGAGTCAGAGGCTTGTGGCTCCTGTTCAGTGGTTGAAATGAAGAGTCACTCT